CTCTGCCTCTCTCTCTCTCTCTCTCTCTGTATGACTATCGTAAATAAAAAAAATAAAAATAAAAATAAACAATCTACTTACTTGACACTTGTCTGCTCAGATTTTCAAATTCTTCATGTTTCAGTCTCGGCAGGTTGTACATTTCTAGCAATTCATCCATGTCCTATAGATTATCCATTTTGTTGTAATAAAATTTATAGTAGTCTCTCATGATCCTTTGTATTCTTGTAGTATCAGTTGTAATGTCTCCTCTTTCATTTCTTATTTATTTGAGTCCTCTCTGAGTCACTCTGGCTAAATATTTTTTTCAATCTTTGGTTTTTTCTTTTAAAGCTCTTAGTTTCATTGATCTTTTTAGTTATGTTTCTGGTCTCCATTTATTTCTGCTTTGATCTTTTTATTTTCTTCTTCTTACTGAAAGCTTAGTTCTTTTTTTAGTGCCTTGACATGTAAAGTAAGGTTGTTTATTGATGTTCTCTTTTGTGTCTTAATATAGGCATTTGTAAATAAATGATTTTCTGTAGTGGTATCATTGTTTCCTTTCTTCTCAGCTTATGTGTACCTGTTAGAGATATTTATTTTTATAAACTTCCCTCTCAGAACTACTTTTGCAGCATCGCATAGCTTTTGATATTTGTGCTTCTATTTTCCTTTGTTTCAAGATACTTCTTGGTTTTTCTTTTGATTTCTTCTTTGGCCTATTTATTCAGGAGCATGTGTTTTAGTCTCCATATATTTGTTATTTTTCCAGTTTTCCTCCTGTTAGTAATTTCTGGTTTCATACTACTATAGTCAGAAAAGATACTTGATATTTTTCAATCTTTTTAAATATGCTGACTTTTTTTTCTATGACTTACATGTGATGTATTCTGGAGAATGTTCTGTGTGCACTTAAGAAGAATCTGTATTATGCTGCTGTTGGCTGGCATGTTTGTATATGTCTGTTAGGTCCATTTGGTCTATAGTTCAAGTGCTGTGCTTTCTCATTGTTTTTCCATCTAGATGATCTATTGTTGGAAGGTAAGGTATTGAAGTCCCCTTCTATTATTGTGTTGTCATCTATTTTTTCCTTTAAGTCTGTTAGAATTTGCTTAATATAATTCAGATGCTCTGAAGCTGAGTACATATATATTCATGATTTTTATGTCTTCTTGATGAATTGCCCCCTTATCACTATGCAGTGACCATCTTTGTCCCTTTTAACCATTTTTGGCTTAAAGTCAATTTTCTCTGATATTAGTATAGCTACCCATGTTCTTTTGGCTTCTATTTGCATGGAGTATCTTTTGCCATTCTTTTGAATTTATTTGTGTTCTTGGAGCTGAGGTGAATCTCTTGTAGCATATAGTTGGGTCTATTTCTTTTTAATCCAGCCAGCCAGTCTGCTTTTTGATTGGAGAATTTTGTCCATTAATATTTATGAGAATTATTGACAGATAATGACTTACTAATGCCATTTTATTTTGGCTGTTTATAATTCCATTTTTCTTTTCTCCTGGTTGCCTTCCTATGGTTGCCTTTTACTGTAGCAGCACACTTTGATTCCCTTCTTCTCATCTATGTGTTGCAGATTTTTGTTTTGGAGTTTCCATAAGGGTTTATATGAAAAATCTTATAGATATCACAGTGTATTTTATGCTAATAACAATTTAATTTGGTTGCATATAAAAAAACCTCTGCCCTCTTCTCCCCCTTTTTTACATTTTGGATGAGACCATTTACATTGTTTACTGTGTATTCATTAGCAAACTATCGAAGCTATACCGAGGTTTCATACTTTTGCCTTTTAATCTTTGGTGAACTTTACTAGCATATCACCACATTAACAGTGTTAAGGTATTCTAAATCTGACTCTATGCCTATCTTTCCCAGTGAGTTATCTCCATATGTTTTTGAGCTACTAATTAGTATCCTTTTGCTTCAGCTTGAGGAACTCCTTTTAGCATTTCTAATTTAAAAAAATTATTTAAAGTGGGCTTATTAAAATAGTATTTTATAATATATTTTTTAAGTTGGGCATGGACCCCAATATGGGACTTGAACTCACAACCCTCAGATCAAGACCTGACCTGAGATCAACAGTTGGATGCTTAACCCTTACCTTTAGTATTTCTTACAATGTGGTTTGGTGGCAATGAATCCCCTCAGCTTTTGTTCATCAGAGGATGATTTTATTATTTCACTTTCATTTCTGAAGGACAACTTTGTTGGGTAAAACATTTTGGTTGGCAGGTCTTTCCTTCAGCATTTCTTTGAATATATCATCTTACTATCCCTTTGCTTGTAAGATACCTGGTGAGAAATCCGTAAAGCTTTATGGGCGGTTCCTTTGCGTGAGAGTAAAAGTTTTTCCTCTTCAGCTTTTAAAATTCTGTCTTTTGTTTTAGACCATTTCATTTATGTGTCTTGGAAACCATTTCAGGCTGAAATTTTGTGATGACCTATTAGCTTCATGAACTTGGATATCCAGTTCTCTTCCCATGTCTGGGAAATTCTCAGTCATTATTTCTTTAAATAATCTTTTCATTCCATTCTCTCCGTCTTCTTCTGGGACTACAGTAACACATACATTGTTTCTTTTGATTGTGTCCCATAACTCCTGTAGGCTTTGTTCCTTTTATTTTTTTTAATTGCTCTTCTAATTGTTTAATTTCAACTCATCTGCCTTCTAGTTCACTGCCTTGCTCTTCTATCCGTTCAACTATACTGTTGAAACCATTGGATTCTTCAGTTCATTGTATTCTTTGGTTCTTTTCTCTTTGAGCTTCTCATTTTGTTCTTGTATTGTTTTCCTCATACTGTTAGATCATTCATGTGTTCTCTTGTAGCTCTGAGCATCTGTACTGCAGTTATTTTGAATTCTTTGTCGGGTAATGCCTGCATCTCCATTTCTTTGGGTCCAGTTACTGGACTCTTCCTTGGGGAGAGACATGGTACCCTCCCCTCTTCTAGACTTTATGGACTGATTTTGGTTAGAGAAGCCTTTCACTTGCAGGTAGGGGCACACTGGATCGTGTTGTGACCCAGGCCTAGTGGTGCAGGGCAACAAATGCAGGGGTGAGTGGTAGCAGTAGGTCCAGTTGGGGCATGATGTCTCTTTGGCTCAAGCCACTGGGGTCCACACTATTGGTAACAGTGTGTTACTTGATGATCACTGCAGGAGCCTGCAGTGCCTGTGAGGGCTCTTGGGCTTCTCAGCCATGCCTCTAGAACCAGTAAGTAGCAAGGGACCAGGGCAGGCAGCATTGGTGGCTGGGGCCAATGGTGTGCACACACCCCACTGCATGGGGCCAGCTGTAGACACATAGGTAGTGGCAGAGGTCACTTGCAGACAGAAGTTGTAGCAATAGGTGTCAGGGCAGGTAGCAAGGGCTAGGGTCAACTATAGGCTCCCTGACATTAGCAGAGGCCCTGAGTGTCAGCATGCTGTCCCAGGACCTCACATTCTACCCCTGAGCATGCATACTGCAGTGGAGGTCGGCAACAGGCATCAGGTTGCACAAAAGGTGGTGAAGGGCATGCAGGTCCTCGGCTGGGCAGACCAGCTCTAGCTGCAGTGGGCATGGTGGTGCTGGCCAGGGACATGAGGCAGGGCTTGGTCTTGACCTGCAAGCAGTGCTGTCTTCTGTAGCTGGACTGGGGGTGTGCACAGCTGGAGGGGTAGTTACAGGGAAGTGTGATGCTGGCCAGTGACAGAAGGTGGGGCTAGGTAGTCCTGTAATCGTCAGTTTCGTGGTTCTGACAGTGGCATGGTGTTTAGGTAAATGTTAACTCTTGGCAAGGCCGAGTGAAGGGTATGTATGTGGAAACTAAGATTTTTGCAACTTTTCTCTAACTTACAAATTAGTTCAAAGTAAAGTTTAAAAAAAGCTTGAAGAGGTGGGAGGAGTATACAGTGGAAACCAATTAGTACAACTGTGATTTTTTTCTTCCCCAGCTGCCTTCGGCTGCTTTGGTACAAGTAAGCAGGCAGATGATGTCAGTGACTCCAGTCTAGGACACGTTCTCGAAGGCTGGGTGAGCTGCATGTCAGTTTGGGTCGTCTGGGAAGCAGACGCAGATGGAGCACAAAAGCTTTCTCACAGGCAGGAAGGGGCGCACCCCAGCTGTGTGCAGCCATTGGCTGGGGGCTGGCGGAGAGGAGCTTGTCCTCAGCTCATACCCTGACAGCCCAGCCGGGGATCAGGGCTCACGTTGGTCAGCTGTGTGACGGCCTGAGGGGCCCCTCTCCTGGTGCTCCCGGGACCCTATTTGGAAACCCCTCCCTTAATGTGGGGGATGGGAAGGCACCCTGGTGGCGCTCGGGCCCCTACTGAGCAGCCGGCCAGGCACAGGACGGGCTTCAAAGTGGGCTAGAGCCTAGTGGGAGCCACCGGTGGGAGCCAACTACGAAGTCACAATGAATTGATTTTAAGGAGCTGCAGCTGTGATTAGACTATTTTTAGCCACAGGACTCAACCAGCTTTCAAAACCTACTAATAAGAGCCTTGCTGTAGCCACGAGTAAAACCGGCACAAAAATTTGGCTTTTAATTTGACTGCAAGAATCTGCTCTGTGAGGAGTTGGCTTAAGAGGCCAGTCCAAGGAAGAGAACACTTTCCACTGACAAGGTGAAGATCGACTAACAACGTCTGTCATTTTTTAGAGTAATTCATGTAGTAAATCTGTCTTCTGCTGCTGCTCACTTAGTGTGAGGTATGCCTTTTGGGTAAAACAAATCCTCTTCCCCCCTAAATGTGAGAGATGCAACTTGGTATCATTAGATTCTGCTCCACGGTATCCCCCCCACCCCCACTCCCCAATAGTGCAGCCTGCGAGTTGTTCCTGGAGCTGGAGGGGCTCACCTGACCCACACTTTCTGCAGTCGAGGTCAGGCTGACTGGTGCTGGGCCCTGGGTCCCTGCTGCGTCCTGAGGGGCCATGGGCGGCCCAGGAGGAGAAGGGAACGGAGAAGGAGGGATGGAGGGGACGACTGGTGGCAAACATGACAGAGTCGGGAGTACACAGGAAAAGCCAGTCCGTCTTTACTGTAGTGAGTGCAGGATACAAATAGTTTACAACAACCTCTAGCATTTTCTTAACCATTTGATAAAAAGTTCACTATAATATTTATTGTATAATGAAGAAAAAACAACACATTCAGGGAAAAATTGAGATTAACTTATTTTTCTTAAAAGGTTCATCTCAAGGATGGCAACAAAGTCCAGCTTGTGCCGCCAAACGGTTTACATGATCAAACCGTGTACAGCTTCTTGTGTGAACTGTTGACTACAAACATTTACCAAATACATAAATCTCTTTTTTAAAAAAGCCATTTTAAATATAGCAAAGCAGTGTCTTCTTGCACAGCAAAGTGAAGAAAGTTTCTACAGAGAAATAAAAGTTTTACATTTGTAAAATCTTTTTCACATTCTAATCATCTAGCTTCTTATGATCCAATGCCAGGAGTTTTCTGGTTCCTTATTTACTATGTATTTCTTGTGCGCATGATGGTTAATACAGAAAATGTGTTAATGCTTTATTAGTTGTCCTTAGCGTTAAAGGAAATGGTAAAACATGTATTGTTCTTTTAGAACAAACCCCTGATTTAGTCTCGAACACAATGGACATAATTAGGGCTCAAAGGATGGAGTTTTGATCGGGACCACCTGCAGACGTACAGTGGTGACTTTCACTCTCAATGTAGGACCGGTTCAGCGCCCCGCGGAAAGGACAGCTGTTGGAAACTGTACTCGAACCAGTGCGGTGTCCTCTAAGCTTTTTTTGTTTTTGTCTTTTAGTAATAAAATACTTCATCTGAAGGATAAAATTTTCTTGTGATGGTGTCATACAAAACACACAAGTCTAAAACGGTATGAAAAGTCAGTTCTAAAGGAACACCATCCGTGTCTTCCCCGCTCTGAGCTGCTTTCCACCCGGAGATGTGCGTGTGGATGTGTTTGTACATGGAGTCTGGGGGAGGGGTGTCTGTCAGTCCGTGCGCTCCAGGTCACACTGGGCAGACAGGGAAGGGTTAACAGTCAAATATTCACTTCCTGAAAACGGAATACATTGTTACTTGGTCAGTGTAATTGAAATACAAACTCCGAGCCTTGTGGAATAGTATTTTAGAAAACAGTAGTTGTACTGATTATAAACCTGCATAGAAAGAAAGACGATTGAGATACAGTCAGAAAAGCCATCTCATAAGGCACACAAGAAAATAGACAGTAAATGCGAATGTGGTAACTCCTATTCCAAGGTACAGCAGAAGTTCATGAACGTGCATGAAGAGGAACAAAAGAATCACTTAACACTTTCAAAGCTATAAATGGTTTACAAAGTGGTAAGGATTATCTTGGAAGTTCAGTGTTGGGAGACTGTCTTGTTTCAATCAGGTGTGACCTTATGAAGAAACGTGCCTGTATGCAGTTCAGGAAAGTAAGGACATTTTAAGGAGCAACTGATCCTTTCAGAAGGAGAGCCCGACGGCCATACTGACAAGAGGACAGGGCAGGCTACCCTCCCGTTTGGGGCCTCTGTCGAAATCTACTACCCAAACTGTTAACTAAAACCGAATTCCGTCTTGTTGCTTTGAATACCACAGGTTTATCCTGTACCTAATACCTATGTGTCAGTCAGGAAATCTGGCTGATGATTTGTCACAAATAGCAGATGAGGAAAATGTCAGAAGAAGGCAATTTAGGGGGAAAAGCAAAACATAAGTAAAAATTGTAGATAGCTGCTCGACATTAAGTTGAAAATACAAAATAGCAGCAATTTTTAAACCTTTATTTTGAGTTGCTCAGGAAAGGGAGTATTTAAAAACCTATGATGAAAGATATACAGGACTTTGAATTTTGTTTGTGGCACAAGCCCACGAAACGGACGCTTCGTTGTCTTCCCGGAGGAGGAAGGCTTTTCAAAGGCTCCGCTGAGTGCAACCGGGGAGCCGGGCCAGCCAGCGATGTGCCTGTGAGAGAATTTCTCCCCACACCAAAGTGCCACTTCGATGTGCAGAGAGTTCAGAATGGTAGTATTTTATAACCAGCTGCATCATTCTATTTGGGGGGTGGGGGGGGAGCGGGGAAAAAAGATCCCTTCCCCCACAAATATTTTTCCCTAATCATTTACCACTTATAAAACCTTTGTGCTCATCTACTATTTTGCCATGTTCTCTAATATTAAATTAGTTCAGCTTTTTCTACTATATTTTTTCCTCACAAAAGGCAAGTTTTAAGTAATGCCTTATAAAATCTGTAACAACACATTTTATATTTATGCAAGATGAACTTAACACCAGTTTTTTTTTGCCACTTTGCTATTTATGTACACATATAAAATATATAATGATGCTCAACCCATACAGCACAAAGATTACAATGTAACATCACACATTCACCACCAGTGAGGGGAGAAACCCCTTTATACAATCCTCTGAAAAGACTGGGCTAATAATTAAAATCCAAAGTACAGTATATTTAACAAAATAGTAAATGTTAAACAGTGAATACTCTACTTAATAAGGATCTCGCCTTTTCCCCCCAAATTGGCGGCAATCCACAAAAATATACTTTTTAATCTGGTGACCGTACAATACATAGGTACTTACATCAAAGGTGATAATATATTTAAGATGCTATATACACAAAAGAGTTTGGCTCAACTTTTAATTTACATATAGAATAATAAGTGTTCATGGCTTTTTTTTTCCAAGGTTCTGCTTGCAAGATATTTTTGTTTGTTTTTTTTCCCCTCTTAAAATAAAACTAAAAAGTTAAAACAAGATAAAGCTATTCTCTTAAAAAAAAAAGTTACAACATACAGCTTTGGCTTATATAAATAATTCATAGCAGAATGTGTTCAAAAGTAGTGAATATAATTTTATATATAGTCATCAATTCATAAGGGTGTTTTCTTTCATATAAAATATACATGAGCTAAAATCAGTTTCTTTAAGATATGAATGTAAAAAGAAACTTCTGACATAGTCCAATTATAACTTAATATATTAATTTATTTTGTTAATGCTCTATATTTCTAGGCTAGTATTTTCTGAATATCTCATGCGTGTTTTCTACTCTCTCTCTTTTTTATTAGCTAAAGATCACTTCTTTGACCCAATACATTTTTGCACGTGCAAAACATTTATGTGTGGGGCTTTTTTGTTTTGTTTTTTAAAATATCAACAGCCCTTCCCATGCACCCCTCTGCAACAGAGACCCATGCCAGGCTGGGTAATTAGTATAAATGACATTTTATGTACAGTATTGCTTTCTTGATTCCTGCTTTTCTACTGCTCTGTTCTACAAAGCATTTTTTCTTAAGTAACTACAGTCACTGCACAGTTAAATAAAACAAGTAGGGGCCCTCTAGGTTTCTGCAAGCTAGTGTGGGAGAATTATATATGGGTACACGTTTCTCTGCAAAAACTGGTTATCTTATGAAACAAGTAGTCCAAGGAAGTGCCAGACTAGACTCTGCCTATGGGGTGCTTTGTTTGCCATGGGACGCACATCTGCAGATCTACAAGGCAGGTAAGTGCCTGATTCTGTATGCAACACACACCCACACATACACACACTCACACCCACATACATATATATATATATAAAGGGATATATATGTATGTATGTACATATAAATATATTTAACTCATGTCCTTATTTACCAATTTAGATATGTAGGGCAGTTCACTGCAGTAACACGAAGTATGAACACCAGCCTGGAAGCCTTAGGTCACCCACGCGTCCATCCTCATTCGCTTTACAGAAGGGCTTTCTCTGTCCTCCGTGTTTGGGGGTCGGCCAAGCACAATTGGAGAATGGAAGTCACCCCGTGGATCCTCCCGGTCACTACCATCATAGGAGCTGCTTGAGCTGCTCAGACTGTCCACAGGGGAGCGCCCCATTTCCTGTCGGGGCTGGGGGGGCTGGGAGGGCTGGGGCGGTGGTGGCTGCTGCTGCTGTGGCTGCTGCTGCTGAAAGCCTGATGGGGTCATTCGATCCCGGGGAGGTGAAATTGGTTCTGACTTAATGTTGATGTTTTGGTTGGTATTAATGGATAAATTCGAACCCTGAGATAATTGCCCTCCAGCGCTGCAGGAAAGAAAAGATGTTAGACGGTTTCTGAGTGCCTTTGCATAACCGGAATGATACCGCAGACACCCCCTGACTGACACTATCAGAATTCCCCCATACTGCTTTTAACGACTTCTCTGTGGAAGGAAAAAAAACAGGACAGTCGAGAGCTTTGGTGACTAGTGTCCCCACCCACCCCCTTGGCCCTTCGGCAGGTGAAGTCTCTGAAGCAGTGTGTCTAATGCTGCCTATGGACCAGAACAGGAGAGGAATGACTTGGCCTCTGAATTTGGCTTCCTCTCATCCTTGCTTTCTTCTCTGCTCTCGTCCTGGGACAGGCACATCTCATCTCCTCTCACAGCAACTCTAAGAAGGCAGTTAGTCACCTGGCTGTCTTTCCCAGGTGAGGAAATGGCATAGACAGGCCACCTCGTGCAGAGTAGCAGAGTGTGTGGACAGGCTTCTCCCTCAGGCTAAGCGCCAAGCCATCTCCACTCACTTCTGCACGGCTGAGGGCCAGTGGGCAAAGAAAATCAGAGAAGGAAAATAACCTTAGCTTTCTCTGCAGACAGGAGGGGAGAACAGCAGAGGTTGGGTATCTGTGTGTGAATCTGGCTACTGGGGTCCATGTGGTTGGTCAAAACATGCTGCACGCACTGTACCGCACGAGTTCAACAATGAGAACATTCCTTATGGGCAGGGTGAAGGGACAGGAGTGAGAAGACCTTATGGTGGTGCCCAGGGGGTATCTGGCAGCACTAGTAGGAGGGGAAAGCAGGATAACGGAAAGCCTGCTCAGGTGGAGGACAGCATCTCAGAAGGAGGACAGAAGAGCACTCCCAGTTGGCCTCCAGGAGGGTTGGCTGTTTATTTTTCTGTTCCCTTCGTCTACTGATAATCACCAGAGGGAAAAAAAAATGTGTGTGGGGTGAATACCTCTAAGCTGCCTTTGTTCCAACACTGGAATCAGATACAGGGGTGAGGAAGGAGCGGGGGACTGGGTGGCTTAGTGGTCAGCTGGTAGGTAGAAGGGAGGTGCATGTGGGTGACGTGACATCTTGCCTCAGTACCCCTTGGTTACTATCTGGGTCTACCTCCACAGAAGAGAAGCCTTGCCTCCAAGATCTCCTCAGGGAATGCCTACTTTGATCAGTATCCAAGCTATTACCTAGAGTCACATAAAGAAAATATTTTCTCCAAACACTTGTACCATGTAAAAAAGAATCCTTCTCAGATCGTCACATGAAAGTAAACAGTGAAGACCATAACTGATGGAAAAATAAAGTGCACAGGCTGAAAGGAGAGATTTGGAGACAATTTCTAGTTACTCACACCAGAGAGCTGAGGGCTGCTTGTCCTAAATGGTGCTGTTGCCAGGCTGACACCTGTCCCAGAGACAGCATGCCCGGGGAGTTGAAGCCCTGCAGGGCCGACAGGTCCGCACTAGTCAGCGAGTAATCTAGGACAAGGAAAGAACTGTTGCTCTTGTGTATAAGGAAGGCTCAAGTAAAATGTTTTTCACAGAGTAGCTCCAAAGGTTCCCAAGTTGAGAGAAGCCAGGTACTTCCTAACATAAAACACACAGGTCTAAACCCACAATAGTTTTTCTTTGGGAGGTTTACAGTTCCTCACTGTATCTGCTTGTCTGGGATTATTTCACTAAAGTCAGTCTCAACTTTGTACTATATGTTTACAGTTTCACGTCTCACAATAAGTTGAGATACTTTTTCCAGACTTGTAAATAGAAATAATGACACAGCCATTGCTAAGGGATGTTCATACACAGCTGTCATTTTACACATGCCCTCTGCTACCCCCTGAAGAAGGAATGACAGATCAGATGGAGCCTCGAGCAGATCTTCTATTCTTGATGTACAAGGGGAGCAGGAAGGACACAGCATCCTTTCCCAGGCGGTGGCCAGCTCAGTGGCCTAGAGAGGACATTATCATTATCACACAACTGACGAACTGCAGTTGTTCACAGTACAGGGGCTGTCAAAGATCCTTGTGCAACATAACTTCAAGTTCATGAAAAACCTTATGTGTTTACAAGAGTATAATACAGAATATAGCTCATTGTATCTGAATGCCTCAGTCATAATCACTTTGGCCAATACTTGGGACATTACGTATCATTCACACATCGGTTTATTTCAGTTCTTCATTAACACTTATCTTTTCCATTTAGTTTTAAAGAGAGGTGACAAAAACTCTTCTACTTTTAACTGCTTTTTCATGTCTCAAGAGACGTATTTAAAGAAGCTGGTCTTAGTGAATTAACATTAATAAAAAAAGGACTGGGTGGAAAGAGCATAGCTAGTGCTTATGATTCTGCCTTCCTCTACACTTTGCTCACGCTACAGTCTCTCTGACCACCTCATCCACTCCCACGACAGGTGGCGCAGGGGGTCCCTCACACTGCGGCCTTCCACAGTGCCTCCTGCCACCCCTAACTCTCTACCTCTGGGTCCTCCCAACTGCCTACTCAATATGCCCATTGTCCATGTGGATGTCTCTCCAAACACCTCAAATTTGACACCCAAACCAGACTCCTCTCTCCTCCTCCAAACCTGCTCCTTATCTTGATAAATGGCACCAACATTCACCTCATTGTTCATACCAGAAACCTGTGGGTGTTCCTGATACTTCTCTCATACTTCCACCGCCAATCACCAAGGCTGATCGGTGCTCCGTACGGTCTCAAACCCGCCCACTTCACCAGCTCTCCTGACACTGTTCTCAGCTATGCCACTGGGATCCACTCCTTGGGCCACCAGGCTCACCTCCTGTGTGGTCTCTTGGAATGCTATTTTGCCATGAACACTAGCCAAAGTGATCTTAAAATAACAAATATGGTCACCAAATCTCTCTCCCTAACAATCTGGCTTCTTGGTGCTCTCAATATCCAAAATCTTCAACATGTCCTACAAATTCTTACTTACCTCTACAGTTTCAACTCTGAGCACGCTGAACCATCCCCATCCCTCCCGCCAGGCTCCCATCTCCTGGCCTTTGTACACGGTGCTCTCTCGCCCTGGAACACTCTCCCTGCTCCGTCCGACTGGGTCACGTGTGTCCCTTTAGTGTAGCCTCAATGTATCTCCTGCCATGACTGTACTCAATTATTTCCAGGGCTGCTTGTCCTGTGTCTGTCTTCCCGGGCAGGCCCTGACTTCTACTGTGAACCATATACTCTTGTGTGCCTGGCCCAGTACCTGCCACATAGCAAGTGTTCCATCTGACCTGAGTCTGACTCTGTACAGAAAAAGGCAGGTGACACACTACAGAAGGATGAAAAAGGACATGTGTCTAAAAAGGGCAATGAAATACAGTAAAAATAATATGGTAAAATCAAGCCAAATACATGCTTGCAAAAGAGCACAGGGACCAGGTCAGGTTAGAGACGGAATAAGACTGAGGCCAAGGGCTGATGGTTTTGACAGAATTGAACTCCATCTTTATGTTTTGGTAATTCCTTCTGGACTTCAAAAAAAGTAAGTTCTTGCTAATCCATCCAATAGCATTTCTAAAAACAAGCACAGTGGAACTTCCATGGCTATGGCTATGGGAAAGCCTATCAGGAAGGGTTCAGGAAGCCACTAGCACATCAACACCAGGTGCAGCCCCTCACTGCGCTGCTGCTTGCCTGCATATCTGTACCATTGAGCTCTTTGCTCCTGCTCTCCCAGCTCAGAGTGCACGCTGCTTGCCTCGGCCGCTCAGGTACATCCTGTCCCCCGAGCTGGTATGAATTTGGAACAAAAACTCTGTCCCTGGCCTGCTGTCACTCATACAGCTGGTGATCAGTTCAAGGACACAGACTTTCTATGAATGTGTAATCTCTTGCTTTACTCTAGATTTGCACTTAATAGATTTGGGCATTTTTTTATATTGATTGTTAGATAAGGTAGTGGCCATTTGCTCTCTTTTTTCAACAAAACCTTTTAAACTTCTGTTTTAAATGAACTGCGTGGAATTAAAGTGACAATAAAATATATCAGTGGCCTCAGGAAGCTCCAGACAGCAATTTGAAAGCACCATGCTAGAGCATTTACCCTGAAGTCTAAAATTAGATGATTTTTTTTTATTATTATTATAGTCTACTTATAAGAATCATGAGAGACTGAATGCCCTGCACTGTAGGCTGAATAACTGACAAGGTATAATTTAACTATTTCCTTCTTCCTTTGAAGCATCACCAAAAGGTCTTGGGCTCAGCTGGTGAGAAAGGCAAACCGCCCACACCAGCCTTCTCCCTCCCCTCAGAACAGCTAATCTGAAAGAAACCTGCTGTACACCAGGACCCTTGGACACCCTGGATGGCTAAGAGTGCCCCTCCAACCACTCAGCAGTCATAACTCTGCTTCACAGACTCCTGAAATAGGGTATTTTAAAATAAAATGTCTACATAAACATTAATGAGTGAAAAGTTCCTCTCAGAAGTAAGGAGTGACTGGCTCTGAGGAGAAACAAGAAAGGTCCTGGTTTTGCTCCTGAGACACAAACAACAGAAACTAAAGGTGGTTACACAGAGGAAAACACACCCTGCGTGGCGCAGATACACACCTGCCACATTCTGCAGGCCCGAGTTAAGGGAATTCTGTCTTCCCCCCCAGGGGGTCAACATGGCGTAAGGAGAAAAACTTCTTATGCTTCAACAGCCGGGAGGAGTGGGATACTGTGTAATGAGAAGTGACAGAGAAAATGCCAAGCAGCATCTATCATCCTCTCTGCTTTGATGCACAGGCTGTAATTCTGGTTAACAGCTACTTGTTTCTTTGTTTGGGGGGGGTGGGGGAGTAAAAGTTGATGCTGGGAATCATTCTACAATTAATGTATTTTTTTGTACATTTTTCAAAGCTAGCCTCTGTTTTTTAATACACCCAAATGTGGACCTAAAGAACTGAAAATAATTTATTTCAATATACTTAAAAAAAAAAATCACAAAAGCACATGTTGATCACAAAACAAAGAACTAAAATCCACAGAAGGCCAGAGAGCAGGCTTACCAGTGTTGTAGGCGGTCGGCATGGCTGAGTACACGAGTCCCTGTGGAGGCAAGCTTGGGGTGGTCACAGACACGACTGGGGTAGCTAGAGGCTGAGTGGCTTGAGAACTGCTTATCCTCTGGGTATTCTGTGAGAGAGCAGGAAAAAAAAGTGTCATTATTTGAGTATTTATATTCAAACTTAGTATTTTAAAAATAACATTCAATTTAAAAGTGACATTTTTCACAGTTTTATGATGTGAATATCATTATTTCTTAAAGCAGTGATGATATGAAAAAAAAACTTAAAAATACTAATGGGAAGAACTAAATATTTAATTTCAAGGGATATAGTTTTTCATTAATTATTCATTTCCCTGTCTTTCATAGTGTTTATTGATGTCAAAGATATATCCTTAAAACAGAAACTTGCACCATGGGTGGTAACACTTTTATGTGGTACCATAAATGAGGACTTGGTAGTACTACAAATACTGCCAGGCTGCCCCAAATCAAACATCTAGGTTTTAGAGACTTGAGGATAGCGAAAAGTCATGTGTATACTGGGAATGTAAGTCGTCCATAGTTTAGGAATCAAAACTACCTATATCTCCAGCATTCACATGTTAACATGGTGTTAAGTCTTGGCTTAACCAAAGTACAGTTTGCTTTCAGATTTCTTCCCTGGGATCCTGCAGTTGAAACACACACATACACACCCTATGTGCCCCACCCTCATACTTGCTCAGCCTCCCCCACTGTCAACACCACCTACCCAGTGACCTATTTCTTGGCAGCAGGTTCAGATATGCATCCCTGCACAGTCTCCCAACTCTTCTGAGAGGCTTTGTGGAGAGAGCTTGTGACTAACGTACTTTTTGTAGGACTGTGAATGGAGCAATATTAAATGCTTGCTGACCGAGTCCATCTATACAGTATCCTATCTACACTGGGAATGAATTTTTAAAAATCATCTATTGAATGATCAGGTTAGCTTAAGATGTCTACTCCTCTACATGCCAGGGGATGACAGCAGTTTCTTACCACAGTGGCTTCAGGGGACGCTCCAAAACCAAGATCAGAGGAAGAGAACAGACTCCATGATCCATGAGATCAGCACCCAAGAAAGCCAAAGCAGAACTACTCCAGGGTTTTTACATATATAATTATTTTTTAATGAAGAAGTTACAGCCTGAAAACTGACATTTGGGGGCCTAACCCATATCACTAAGAGTACAATTCAGTGCCCTTGAGATTATAAAGAGTCAGAGTATGATTCAGTTTTCTCTCTCACCACTTCCAAAGGATAATCAGATGAAGGCCTTGTGCTAGATTTAGATACTTGAATGTTGATCATCTGATAAGGATCCAAATCTGTTTATTTCTTTTTAGTTTGTATTTTTCACTCAAGTTTCTTTCTTTCTTTTCTTTTTTCTTCCTTCCTTTCCTTTCCTTTCCTTTCCTTCCTTTCCTTTCCATTCCTTTCCTTTCCTCTTTTTAAGATTTTATTTTTATTTATTCATGAGAGACACAGGCAGAGGGAGAAGCAGGCTCCATGCAGGGAGCCTAACATGGGACTTAATCCCGGGTCCCAAGAATCAAGCCCTGGGCTGAAGGCAGCGCTAAACTGCTGAGCCACCCAGGCTGCCCAACAATCTTAAGTTTCTATTTTAAAAAAGAAAGACCACTTGGAATGTGGTTATAGCACTTGGGTTTTGTCCCAAATCCAGTACTTCGTAAACAGGGGGGAAATCAGTTCACCTCTCTGAACCTCTGTCTGTACAGCAGGAAGATAGTGGTTATCTGTGCTGCCTGCCTTGGAGGATTCCTGTGAAGCTCTAGTGAGGCAAGAGGTGAGAAGTGCTTTGGAAACTCAAGTACTACACAAACGTATGATAGTATCCTTAAATGATTATCCCAAGAAACGCTCTGGCCCAAGATTTCTATGTAACTGATGAGATAAATATATTTATTACTTCTGATCCATATGTATGCCCCTGGAGCTACCATAAAGTTGTTTTAGAACAGCAAGGCTTCTCAAGGAATCTCCATGGCCTAGCCCTTCCCAGAAGAGTTTTTAGTGTAGGTTCCAAGGCACCTGTTCTTCCTCTCTTTAGGTCAGAGCCATCCAGGATTATATCTGAGAGTTCAAACCAATCTGAAAAACTTTCTAAATGCTAACAGATTGGGATTTTATTTTGGTGATCACAAAGCTTTGCATTAAAATTGATTAAGTTTCAGAGTTTGAATCAGCTTGTTTTAAAGAATATACATTGTTGATAGTTTTTGGTTATGTATTTATTTCATAATTATAAATATTTTTGATGTCTTCATCTTGTAGTTTTCAAAGATTTAGAAACGTACCTTTGAGACTCTGAATGGGGGATGAACTTTAAGTGGGTGGAGGTCAATGTATGGTAACTGAAAATACACTTTCAGCATCAAGTTAATAATTTTAATGAATTTTTGAGGTAGACCTATACTTTGGACTTATCTGTTCTAAGATTTGGTCGCTGGAACCTCAAGAGTCAGACAGTAGGCAAAAGAACATAGCATGACACAGTTTGGCCTGGCTCTATCCATGCCAGGGTTTCATCTCCATGGCAATCTCCTGGGATTACCTCAAGAAGGGGTGGGTTGTGTGTGTGTGTGTGTGTGTGTGTGCGTGCACGCCCACGTGCTCGTGCAATAGCGAATGCCAATATATAGGTTCCATGCATCAAGGCTTCTAATCTCACTGGCATTGATTTTTCTGAGTAAGAGACTTGAGAGACCACTAGAGGGCAACATATTGCAAGAGAATTGAAGCATTCATGACAACTTCCTAAGGGTAAGTAGTCTGAGACGAATTCTTTTATCTTGAATTATAAACTTCCATTTTCTAATCACTACTGTATCACTAAGTAAAGTATTTCCCCAGAAGAAAGTCTAAATCTGCACGATATAATCCAACCCTGCAATTAATGGCAGACTAGTATATTTTAGTTTACTAAATAAAAAACCACATCTAAAACTGTGAGTGATCACAAAGTTAAAGAATTATCTCTTATTTTAAGGACAGAGCACAGACAACCTTATCTAAAAAGACACAAACTGTGCAAAACACACCAGCATGCATATATTTATATATAGCAATAAAATATAAACAAAACCAATAGATGCCTTCCCCCCATGCTCTCATGCAATCTGAACCCTTGTCCATGCTACGAACTAAACATTTTCAAGCTTTTCCCCCTTAGAGTCACTAGTTAGCAACTGACTTTGAATTTATGTGATCATTTCTGTGAATTTTGAGTTTTAGTTCCCAAAAAAGAGATTAAATCAAAGTTACTTTTAGTCAGATTTATTTTCTAGAAGAAAAGCCAATAGAAAGTATTTGTTTTAGAAAAAAGGTAATAGCTACTTTTAGCAACAGAGTTATGTCCTGATAGAAAAAAGTAAATTTATGTATGTTAAATTACAGACATTCCTTTTAGCAAACAGGGAACCCCCTTATGGTTCAGATCGTCTCATGCAGTATGAAATAATTCCAACTCTGAAAAAGGTGACCTCACCAAAAATGATGTAATCTTTTTGAAAGAAAGAGAAATAACACAAGACCATGTGTTACAATCTGAGGAACTTTGAGGGTGAAGTCATTTTCTAAAAATATATTAATAATTTGGGGAACTATATAAGGTATTTTGTATCTTGCCTTAAAAAAAATCTTTCATAAGTGTCTTGCAGTCATTGACAGCTATTGTTTTTAAAAACTCTGTTCCAATCTTCCCTCCAACAAACAAAATGGGTCAAGATATACAATTATAAGTAGAAAAATAAGATGGACTCTTGTAGGATCAGTAGATCAGTTCAGTTATTGAAAGTGCCTGGATAGTGTTTAATAACAGCAAGAAAAACTGTGTAACAAAGGGAACACGGGTTAGATAAATACATTTAATAGAATTAGTACTTTCTAGATCTTTTGCAACTCCCTTCAAGCAGAAACACACACTCACCAACTCCAATTCCTCTTCCTCCGACTGCACTCAGCATATGAGAGGGATAAGAGAGTTACTAAGACTGTTGGTACTCAAAAATAAAATATTTCTTTAGAAAAGCATGTCATTTGGACACTAGTGGTTGCCTGGAACCCTAAAGAGATGATTATATGCAACAAATACAAATATAAATTTTTTATAGTCTTGCCACGGGTAGTTGATTTCAGAAGATTCTTTAAATCCTCTCAGGTCAGGCTTTAAAGAAGCCCCTGTCCTAGCCTAGCCTAGTCTGCTCCTATGCTGGTCTCACCTGCACACCACCAGGCCCCTGCACCCATGTTTAAAAGGAGTTCCTAATCATACCAGCTTATATCTGAAACCTTCAGAATACTTCATCCTCCCATCCCTAGCCCGCCTGGTCAAACACGTCTGTTATTTATCTCCTAGATGTGTGCTCTTCAGTTGGCAGGAATTATTTCCGACTGCAGCTAGCACGGTGTTATGAAACAAGAACTCAAACATTTGTTAACAGTTTTAAATGACACAGCATCACTGGCAATCTATAGAAGGTGTCTTTATAAGCATCATTGATACAGGAAACCCCAATCTGAAAGCCAGTTTATCTGCACACAAACTGTAAAATTGGGAGGCTGGTTATCTACTCTGAAAAACAATCACCTTGCCTACGATTGCTATTTCAAATGTGGGTAAAAGGCTCTTCAGTTGTTGAGTTCCAGAGACCTTCACAGGTCTCTACTAACAAGATACACATGGAAATACAATAGGTGCGTGCTGTGTAGTTTTCCCTTGAACCTGCAGGGACAAGGGTGTAAAATAGTTTATATGGCAAATTCTGACTCTTCTACAGAGATGCTTCATGATCTCTGAAACAAAGATCAGAGATAACCCTGACCAGCTGCTAAATGCCTAAATGCAGTTTTGTCCTTAAAGTCTTCAGTTTACTAATAATTCTTATCAATATATTTCTGACCCATAAATGAAACTTTCTGTAGTTTGTATTTCTGAAAGATAGTGGCAGATATTCCACATCCCATTCCTAAAAGGTGAGCCAAATGACTATCCTGAATGCCTAAATGGTTTTCTTTTGGGGTTGTTATACCTATATGTATTTTTAACTTTGTATCCTAAAAAAATTTTACCCTTAGAGAGCA